CTAATTATTATTTGTTCTATATTATTTGCAATATATGCAGAATTTACCCAACTTTGTGGAGGCATGTTCAAAACTTCGGTTTCTATAAGTTTGAGGACATTGGAGTTAACACGAGGAAAAACATTGTTACGACGAATGGCAGATTTCGGTTGGTGCCAAACATGTTCAATGCGATTAAATATACAGTGGTAAGGTGAAAGCCTTAAAACTGTATGCCCTAGATTTTTTGCATAATTATCACAGACGTATTCCTTTTGTAGGTTCAAGTTCTGTAGAACCTCAATTAATTGCTTTTTGGTATAATCTTCGTGAAAATAAATGTCGTTATTATACATGTAGTTTTGGATTGTTGCTTTCGTGTCACATAAGGAAGGGGGTTTAGTCAAATGTCTACTGTGATAACTTGCATTGTCCATTACAATGACGCTATTAGGAGGAATGTTTGCAACTAGTTTGTTTTTATATCAACTTTCAAATAAATCAGCGGTGGTGTCTTCATAGTAATCCAGAGGAGAATCTTTATTATTTTTCGCAGACAGAGAAAGTCCATTTGGAATCCAACCATCTTTAGAGCCAGTATGCAAAATAGTTATTCTTTTATCTCATTTTGATGGCGCGTTTGTTTTACACGTATCACCCTTTTCCGAGGTATTATAAGTGTCGAACCAGATTTCATCCAAGTAAATAATTGACCTTTGTTATTCTCTGTAAATCCTATTTTTTTCTAGATATTCCAGTCGCCATTTCCGAATTCTAAAAGATTCCATTAAAACTTGCTTTTTGTCAATTTTTTAAAATCTAAAACCCATGTGTTGAAAACACTTCCATAAGGTAGTTCTGCCACATTTAACACCGGTTTGATCTTTTTTTAGCCTCCTAATTAAGATATCTAATGTAGGCACGCTTTGTTCCTCGTATAACTGGTAAATTTTACGCCGTATTATATCTTGATCACTTTCATCTACACTCGAGAAAATGTCAGCATCGCTTCTTTTTTTCCTCGCTGAAATTGGGTTATTCTCAATTTCCCATACATTTCATGTTGGAATTTTCATCAATGTGGCCGTTTCTACTAAAGATGTTTGCTTGCTGGCACCACGTCAATGAGAGTCAAATAATAATTGTTTATAACGTCTTTAGTCTTTAGTTTAGTATTTAGTCTTTAGTTTTCTACATTTGGGCGGGAACATCTCCAGAGATACAATAGACTCGCACATATTTTGCATAATTCGCACACGATTCAACACACGCTGTATTCCACACGAAACAAGAATGATTACTAATAAACTTAAACTAAGTAGTATACCGAAGCAAAGAATATTAAACACAGGTAGGTATAAAATTATTTTCTATTACGGACCACAATTTTACCTGAATTTAAATACCGAAACTTTAGGTATCTTGTTGCATTGTATGTTAATGACCACCTTTGGATAATCCCATTCGAAAGTAATTGGTCACTTTCTTATATCTATGAACAGACCATACAACACAACATTCAAAATTAAGCTACTATTTTGATCAGGCCAGTCAGGAAGTGACACCAGATAACTGGCGAAAAGCAGTCTAGCACGTCATTAAAAAAAAAAAAGTTTTTCTACTATAATATGTACTAAATTTTTTAAAAACTTTTGCATAAACAAATCGCAAATCAAAATCGATTTTCAACGTTTTACATAACGGGGTCGGAATTTTTATCCGCCGCTGATCCGGCTTAGACGAATCGGTCTTCTAAATTGGGCGTGCGATGATTATGTTACGTTTAATATAATTTTTATCTTATCCGAACATGGTCCGTGAAGCGGGCGGCTGTCGTTCATTAAGATGCATCCCTCTCCGGAACCATGATCGATGAACTCCGTTTATCGAAGATCTCGCTCGTTTTTCCGTAAGAATCGGATCGTGTGAGATCTCTTGGTGGTCTTCGGATTCGCCGGAGGGTGATTGAGGAAAATTGCTTTTAGTAACGAGACGATGCGATAATTTGACATGTCCCAAAATCAACGAAATGTATACGAGGTTACTTGTTATGGATGAAATCGATTATCTAAAATTTGAGAAATAATTTAATTATTTAAAATAGAGGCATATTTAGGTTCCTTAGTTTATCTCATTGTTTGTTTATCCTGCTGACGAAATAAGTCAGTACGTGCCTGTAAAAAAATTAAAAAATAAGGATCTACGCCATAAAGGCCTAATATGAGAAATAAGTAACTGCAAAATACTTAATTTTCGTTATTCGACATTCCCAAAAATCAAATCAATTTTTAAAATAATTTAATATGTTTGGCAACAATGTTATTGTCCCAAACTGTAACTGTATAGGATAAATATTTTTTCATCGAAAAACGATTTTGAATAGGCAAAAAATTTACTTTCCCAGGAAGCGATATGAGTATCTGATCCTAGCGACATTACGAGTAGCATTTAGAAGCGACAAATCATAATAATAATAATAAAGAGCCTTTATTCGGTTCAAAAATATATAACTGTGGGGACGGCATCCAACATAGTTGCTCTCATGCAACCCCCTAAAACGAGTATATGACACAATTTATAAAATAAAATATAGCAAATAAATTTTAAAGACATTCATTCAAAATGGTAGACACTGCTAGAGTGAATTCAAAAAATAAATATATATATATATATATATATATATATATATATATATATATATATATATATATATATATATATATATATATATATATATATATATATATATATATATATATATATATATATATATATATATATATATATATATATATATATATATATATATATATATATATATATATATATATATATATATATATATATATATATATATATATATATATATATATATATATATATATATATATATATATATATATATATATATATATATATATATATATATACAATTTGATAGTTACTAGTTTTATGATCGGTCTCTATTATGATAAATGTATTGCTAATCATCTGAGAGGGAAACAGGAAAAAACGTAAAAAAACGTCTGCAAGTTCAAATAGACATTTATTTAGGTAATCCTGGCATTTATTAAAAGCAAAGCAAATTGGGATGAAAAACATTTATATTTAAGTTTATTTATTATTACTTATTCAACGTTTTTGAAATTTGCAATTGTTTGATTGCAATATTCGTTAAAAAAAATGTTTTGCTTTTTATTATGTTCTTTTTATCATCAAATTTTTATAATACACTGTCTTATTGTTTCAAATACATATTAAGTTTTATTTTGTTCTTAAATTTGTTCAATTTTTTCTACTCATAATAAACATTTTTTGCGAAAATGCAAACAAGTGAAACGGGAAGTTAAAACTTTATACATTCTTGCACCCAAAAAATCTCTGTAATTTCGTCCGCTTAAATTAAATTTATTTTTACGATAATTTCACATTCACAATTTCCTATAAATAATAAAAGTTTGCCTTAAGTAAAGTAAAAAAAATTGTAACGTAAAATGGGAATATAAAATATAAAGTTATAAACATTTTGCTATCGAACATGAATGAATATTTTAAGTTTGTATGCGCTTTTGGAGGAATTTTAATGCATATCTGAAATTAAGCATTTTGAAATTAAGACACAGTACAGACTGAAACTGCAAATATGTAGCAAAAAAAGTTAACAATCAGGGTTCAGCCCCTACAACGAATACAAATTACGTTCGCAAAGCCACAAAGAAACAAACAAACAAACAAAAAGTGAAAAATGTAATGAGTTGATGTGTCTGTCACAATATCTCGGAAAACAAACAAAAAAAAAACCTTTTTTACAATTAAGTTTAAGAAATTGTGGTTTTATATCTATTTTTTCCTGAAATAAAATTGCGATTGAGAAAGCAAACTTTAATATTATTCCCAATAAGCAACAAATAACAATATATTTTTGCTTTGCCTTGCCGAAATTATCGCCGCGTGTTATCGTTATACAGCACATCCTCTGGTCCTTGAAGAATTAAAGAGATGTTTCGAATCTGCTTGTATACAGAAATCGACACCCGCTCTAGATTCAGATATACGTTGCGATTGTCTACCCCCTTCATCTGACTTGACAATGGACAGGTGAAACCGAATCCTTTTGTACACAAAACCCGATGGGACGGCCAGGTAATCTCATACATCGCTATCTGCGTTAAAAATCAACCGGGTTCTTTAAAAAAAAATGTCAATAACTCGCCTCTTGAACTCTCATATACGGTCTCAAAGTTTGGTCCTTTCTTTTTATACCCGCAACACCGGGATATTCGATTTGACACTTAAAAAAGGGCCTACGTGGTGCAATGTCGATATATCTATTATTATACGACGTTTTGTTTGCTTTTCCGGATTCGCTAAAATTTTTATTTGATTTTTTTTCGCTTTTCTTTCATATCAACGCTTGGATATTCCGTCCGGCATTTAAAAAATATTTATTGTGTAATCTGGCGAAGTTTTGCCATTTTCTGCTATTATTTATTATGTCTACTTATGCCATTTGTTATCAACCTTTATTTTGATGCCAGTGCCATTACTAAATTTTAAGCTAACGCAGTGACATTCTGATAATTAAATGGTTCTACGATTTAATAGTATACGACATTTTAATTTGAAAAAAATATTTCATTTAAAGAATAGAGTACTTTAATAAATAATACACAACAATAATAAAATTATTGTTGTGTATCTCTCAGATCACTTCGAATTCAGCTTGCGCCACCTATCCGGTGCTATTAATACTATGTTCGAAAAAATCATACAACGTCAGAGACATCTTATTCCGGAACGAAAAACCTGCTGAGCCAACGAATGCTTTAATATTGTTGAAGTCAAGGTTTGGTGCCTGGTCAATAGATGTCGCGCTATATGGCGATTAAATCTGGGAAAGGCACATGGCATGAAAGAAAAATCGTTACTGTATTTTATTTTCTACATTACATTCCAGTAGGGGCACTGTTGATATTTTCATTATGGCACGCCGTATAGTTTTGCTTTTAAAGGAATGGGGACGTCAATTGAAAAGCAGTGCGATGAATAGTTTTTCACGAAACAATTAACTATGCGAAGATTATCGCGTTTTTGTTTTTAATTTTGTCGGAAAAATCGGAATGCAATTGGTTTTGTCTCGGGAATTTTGCCGAAATTGTGTTATCAGGTGAGCTTTTATTTATTTTATTTATTATTTTTTATGACTGCGCTAAAGTTTTTTTAGAAAACAAACACTAAAGGATATTAATTTTATAAGCTTTAGCGAGCCTATATAACAATTGATATTTTAAAAACTCTAGGAAGATGAGTTTTTATTTATTTTATCTATTTTATCTAGATTTATAAGCAATAAGCAATAATAGTACTACGAATATAAAGAATAACTCGACGTATTCGAAATTTTGTAAGCTTAAACAAGCAAAATGTCTAGTAATCGATTTTTTGCGGATGTTGCATGCAAATCAGTCGACAGGTTTCGTATAACTCTCCCTCTAGGCTACGAGCCAAATTCAACTATTCGGGTCATTGCCGCTCTCGGTTTCAATTTAACAAGCAAGGCAAAGGAAAAATCGTTCAGAACAACATTTCTTGCGATATTCCTGACCTACGAGATTTATTTTCAATGGAGTATGAATGGTAATAGCTTGTTCGTGAGGTCCATTGCGTCTTTCATGCATTACCTTGTAATTAATAGTATTCAGTTATCCAAGTATCACTAAATTGCAGGTGTGGGTAAAGATTGGTACTAACAAGAGCACCACTGGTTAATAAAAACCCTTTTTTCGTTTTTCGTTTCACCCTTTTTCGTGAAATTTAGGAAAGTAGTGCATATGGGCAATTTTAACATATTATTTAGCCGTGTCGCTTGGACAATATGCTGAAACACAAACTGGTTTCCGTTACAAAATAGCGTTGTTAACAAGCGCCGACCTTGCACGCGATTTAATTTTCTCGGTCCAAATATTGAGACATTAAAAAATAAATTTCTTAAATAATGGTTAATTATAATTATACCCCGCCGCCACTGTCGAAACGCTCGGGTCGGAAATGAAAAAAAAAAAATTTACTCGGATCTTCAATTATCGTTGTCCCCATCGCCTTGCGAAATTTGCATTTTATCATTCTAAGTTATCATTAACTTTTCATGAGTTTTTTTATAATAATAATAAGGAGAAGAAATGAATTTTCCTCTAGGGCTTCTTCGTTAATAATTATAACTTGGAAAGGCCAGCGTAAACCAATTTTTTCAAGAGCGAACGCAGTATTCCCTCTGAGCTTTGTTATCTGCCTAAGCCTTTTTAATAGATAAGTCTCACAGCTTACAAATTAAGGTAAAGGAAAATAGTAAATGTGGTGTGGTCAAAAATAAAGAGTAGATTATTATACAAACGTTGGGTCAAAAATCAACTATTGCCGAGATATCGCCCAACAGATATAGCGGAACATAAATTTTTGATTACCGTGTTAGGGTATACATTTAAAATTAACAACGGAGACGCATTTAAATCCAATTGGTCATTAAGTAATAGATTCGAATCAATTTTATTGATTCATTATGTAAAATATCAAACTTATCGTCAAACTTAGGCTTTTCTGAATGGAATTGGAACTTTTTTGTTATGCTATCTCCCCTAATGTATTTCTTAAATGTTCTACCTGTTTGTCCGATGTAAATTTTGGGACATGATCTACATTTCTACTTGTAACTTCGGATTTTTCAGTTTTTAGTTATTTAGTTATATTGTTTTTTAAAAATTTTCCTACGGTGTTTTCAATTTTAAAAGCAATATTAAGACCAAATTTAGATGTTTTAGATTTTATTGCTTTATAAATTTTATAAATTTTGGGTTCTGTGTTTAATATAGATAGAGTTCAGAGTTATTTGAAACTGTTTTTGAGTTATAATCGTATCTATCAAACAGAGGTCGTAACCATTGTGAAAATCTATTTGTTTTATATCATTTCATTCTTTTTCAAAATTTTCTTTGGAAAGTGGTATAATAAGTAGTCTGTGAATAAAGTAATAAAAGGCGGCCATTTTGTATGTGGCAGGGTGATTACTGTGTCCTTGTGTGAGGCTTTATGGTAAATAGAAAAATCTGATTTGTTCTTTAATTTAGTTATAGTCAAGTCCAGACACTTTAGGGGTCCCCAAGGTAAATTGTATGCGGTTGTGCGGTTAATGTGAATCAAAAACGCCTGTATTATCTATACCACCAAAGAAATCTTTTACTCAGAGGATGTTTATGTATTTTTTCTACATTGTCCATGAAAATTTCTGCAAGTAGTGGACTAAGTGGATTTCCCATAGTTAATCCTTTAGCAATTTAAAATTGACCATTAAATTCAAGGTAATTTTGGTCTAAACAAACTCTTAAACTACCTAACAATTTATGATGAATATTATGCTGGGTTCACTTGTCTCTGAGTGAGGAAGGAAACTAAAATTGCCTGAGAAGGAATTTTAATGTCTCTAACCTTGTTGATTAGTGCGAACGAATTTTTGATAATGTATCTCTAGGTTTAGAGGCAATATGATATTCTAAAATTTTTATTAATCTTGTTGAAAATTTACTTGTTGGTGCTGTTACAAAAGAAACTACAGGCCTAATTGGCATATCCTGTTTGTGTAATTTAATAAAAAAATATAATTTTGGAGGTTGAGGATTAATAATTATTAGTTGGTATTTTTCACCGTCACTCAAAATTGTTGAATATCTAATTACGGTTTTGATTTGTTTTTGATATAACTCGATGTTATCATATTGTATACTTTGGTATATATCTGGTTAAAGAAACTGTTTCGTTTTTGTTAAATATTCTAGAGAATCGATAGCTGTGACTGTCTTTCCTTTATTTGCTCTTGGAAATACTATATTATTTTGGGAAGAATTAGTTTTAAATGGTTCTACCATAGACATATGTGAAAGATCCTGGAATTTACTGTTATGTGTAAGTTGAGATTATATTAATAATACGTGTTTGTTTACGATATTGTCGTTAGTACTGTTAATAGAAAGCTCGGAATCAATCCCTAAACAATTTAACTTCTTATTGGTGTTTGAGTATTTTAAATTAAAGTAGAAACCCTATTCTAGTTATTCGGGCACTTTCTCAGAAAATGTGGCAAGTATTCACATATGTCTTGGGTAAATTCTATTAATATATTACAAAAACTAAACAGTTTCTGGGGTAGTGTAATTCAATCCCCTTTACTCATAAGAATATGAAAAATATGCAGACAGTGTGTTTATATAATAGTTTAATTTTTCGCCATGTTTGTAGGGCGATATGTCTCTATGGGTTGAAACTACTCTTTATTTTCAACAACTCCGTATACTATCATCCTTTCCATAAGTTATCAGATGGAAAACATACAGACACCCCTCTGTTTATCTTTAAAGATAGAGGAAATATGTGGTAAAAGTGTCAAAAATGGCCACACTGGGCAGTAAAAACGAAAATATTCATATTTTTGGACGAGACCTAGAACAAACAAATTCCGACCCCATATATATCCTCCGATCCGGTTGCCAAGGAGATCGTTTCCACCATGCTGCACGTGTCCACGTCGTCCGCGTCCGAAACGTTATTTAACGAGTTTTTACGTCAAAAGCGTAAATGCGTTATCTCGGACCGCTGCTGTTATCAAGTCGAGCGAGACCATTGGCGTAGGCGTCCCACTTCGACGGTCCCAAGGACTCTTTCTTACCTTAACATTTTGTCGGTTGTTTTTCAGCAGAAGTCGATCGGCAGGGACCCGACTGCGAAGAACAAAAAGCAGTCGTGCCGAGAATGTGGTGTGGAGCGCAGCAGCGGCAGCAGCATCAAACGCTGATGCTGCTGACCGCCATGCTCTCGCTGTTTTATTGGTTTGGGGAAGACGTCGTTTACGGTGCGACGTCCGACGAGAGTCAGCTCAAAGTCGGCAGATCGATCGACATTTTTACCAGGTAATGTTGTTTTAATTGCCTTTATTTCGTTTGGGAGTGATGCTTAGTATGTGCAGAGGGGATTCCCTGGAAGTCGTAGCCGCACTCCCAGGCGAGTTACGGGTCGTTCTTAGATCGGCAACAAATTGTACACAAAAACGTTTTTCTTTGTGACAGTGATAAGTATTTACTCTAGAAAACTACATACAACAACAAAAAATAATCTGTTTAATGTCTAGCAGCGTACCAAATGCACAAACATGGTCCTCCATTTAATGTAAACGGAAAACTGCGAAACGCTACCGTAACACCATGACAACCGCATAAATTGGCGACACCTTATCATTTCTGAAAAAATATATCATCATTTTGAAATGATCCAAATGGTATTAATGGTGTCAATATTTTTCACTGTTCATGTTGACATTTTATCTTAAAAATTTTACAAAATTAAAATGTCCCAGTTTGTTGCAAATGATGCAATTTTATTTTTTTCGCGTCGGTCTAAAATTTGAACGTTCCATCGCAACTTTGGTTGTGATTCATAAGAATACTCTATGAAATTATATGGGTATTTTTTTTTTAATTCAAATTTCATAAAATCAGCTATAGTATTATTCTATTTAAAAAAAAACGAAGAAAAACGATAACCATTAATTTTTTTAATAAGCCACTGATTTTAAATTAATTAAAAGTTGTACTTTTGTAAATTCGTTGGTTTATTTCTAATAAAAAATGATTTTTTAATTTTTTTACTAAACCAAAGTTATCAGTGTACAAAAGCGACATAAAATCACAATATATATCATTATTTTATTCGAAAAATTGCGACGCCATCGGTTATCCTTGTTGTCTACCTACGGTTTCACTTCTCGTAATACTTACCCTGTTACACCCTATATATTTCGCAATTGCTCTGCGCCTATCTATTACCTGAATCTGTACTGCACCCATTGCATATACGTTTATGGTCTCTTACGAATTCTTACCTTTTTAAAGCGACTCAGCCTTGACTGACAAAGGTCACACGCCAATTCGATAAGTTTGCCCCTTATGCTGTCGTTTATTCGTTTTCGAGGGAGAATGGAACCTTGCCGCGTCATGCAGTTTGCCGAAAAATTACCCATTCTCTGTATTCCGGAATCGAGACCATTGTTTTGCCAATGTTTTTCGAAACGCCTATTGAAAAATAGCGGAAACGGTATTTTGACAGTGTCGTTCAACCATAAAGAAAATGCTTTTATTAATTGTTCTTTTTAATTGAGTATGTTATTATTATTCAATATTATTAATCAATTAAGTTATTGTGTTGCAGTCATGTAGCACAACGCATTATTTTTTTTACATACAGCTAAATTGCAAGAAATCATTCTCTGAGTGATCTTGGGATAGGACACTCCGTCCAGAACTGCTTTGTTTTCGGATCAAGATGCAGATCGATAAATATCTTAATAATCTTACGATTTTTTTGACATTAACATTATTAAAACATTCAAAAACACCCTCTATATTCAATTAGCAACTACTTTATTGCAGAAATTGCTGCTGTTTGTTTTACCGCAACACCTGTACAGCTTCAGCTCATTGTTTTTTTTTATAAATTCACGATTAACTTTACTTAAAGAAGATAAAAAGCTGTTAAACTGTTATGGTTATGTTCGGTGACATTCAGCCAACAGCAATTGTAACGGGAAACATCTGGTGCTTCTTGGATGGGTGCGTGTAATTATTTAATTGCGTTTAACGAGTGGATCGACCGGAGTAGACCCCGACCAAATGCCGAATACATACCTCCAAATAGAATTCGAGAGACGTGCAACTTCGTAATCCTCCGTAAATAGCTCCTTCCTTCCTGAGCCGTGTTACTTTAAGGACATCAAATCGGCGCCGATTTTGGACAATTGAACCTTTTAATCGTCACGTTGATTTTACTTTCTTTTCGTAGTCGTTGGGAAGTCATTCAATATTTATATCTTATTTTCTTACTATCTTCATTGAGAGCCTATGATATTGGCTACGACACAAACTGAGAGTTTGTTGCTTGGTTTTTAATTGAAAAATTGTATACTATAGAGTTCATATTACCCTGTCAATATTTACAACCGCAGGTAGCGAGCTAGTTTTTACTTTTCTAATTAACCACAATAAAATCGGAGCATTCGTAGCCAAAGAGAAGAATGCACAGGAAATCCCATGTAAACTTTTGGGTGCCAAATATTTTATTTATTTTTATTATTTTATTTATTTTTATTTTATTTTATTTAATAAGCCAATATTCAGTTGTTGAATTAAATATGATGGAAAAATGACAAAAGGTCAATACAACAGACTTGACGACGCCAAGCTGGACAATGACAGATCAAATAAAGGTCGGTTTACAATAAAGATATGCACATTTGTTTTTCTTAGGATGAAACTTATACTCGGTTCTTCAGACCTTCTTGTCCCTTAAAGCTTTCTTGGAATAAATTTCATTTAAAGGACGGTTTAAGCAACAAGGAAGCCCCAGATTGCGCGCATTAAAAAAAACAAATATTTTTCCTATGAATGCGAAAATCACCAAGAGCTCCGGGAAGGCGATGGAGAAAAAAAAGTAGCATTTTGTTTTAGCAGCAAATAATGATGGGGATTTAACACTGAATGAATTCTACTCATTGGAATTCATTCAGTTCGTTCGTTTTGTTGATACTCGAAGCCGATATCCCCAAAAAATAAATGTTACGGTGGGAATTTGCGGACATCGTATTATTGGGCCATTTTTTATTGACTATAACCTGACGGCAGAAAGCTATTTCAACTTATTACAATCAATGGACAGTTGTTCCGCCCATAATTCCCGTATGATTAGGGAGTATTTGGGAAATTGATTTAACGGGAATATTGTTGGCCGACTTCTTTCTGTGGAGTCACTTGAAAAGTGTTATCTATAAAAATGTTAAATTTGAAAATCTTAACCAGTTACATAACGCCATTTCCTTAGAATGTGACAGGATTTCACAATTTCATCCAAACTATTTTAAAGATAAATTTTTGGAACACTAAGGATATTGTTTAACTGTTGGAGGGTTGTTTGAACATTTACTTAAAAAACAATGTTTATTTTCAATAAAAGACTTGAGGGTGAAATTAATAGTCGTTCCTTGAAGCTTCCTTGTTGCTTAAATCGTCCCTTAAATAAAATTCATTCCAAGAACGCTTGACGCGAGAAATTAAACGTAATATTAAATTAACAGATGTTATTTAAAACAGCTGCCCTCTTTATATATCCACAATCTAGCCCTTCAAGGCAAACTGCAACTGCTCCTTCAATTTCTTCATCTAACAATATATGGTTTTTAGTTATGTAAAAATCTACAAAAAGAAGATATATAATAAAAGTTTCAATTCTTTCGTTTTGTTACTATCACTTAGTAGAATTGTATGAAGGATACTAGTTTGTTTGAGTTATTACCGTTTTTAAAACCCACTTTTCTCGTATCGCAGATACGGTTATCTGAGCCTCAGCATGAAGGTGGTGCCCCGAAACGATTCCGAGTGGATCTTCCGCGAACCGACGATTAACGTCTTCACCGACGTCGACCGGTACTCGTCGGTGTCGGCGCGCACGCCGAAAAAACAAAAGAAAGTGTTCGACGGCGACTTCCACATGGAGTTCTGCGACAATCTCCAGCAGCTGGTGCAGGCGTATTTCCGGGACTTCAATTTCGAACGGCTGGAGAAGCCGTGGCGGGCTTTTACGTCGAGCTGGTCCACGGAAACGCTGGCCAGGAATTTGGGTGTCAATTCCACGTACCTCGCGAAAGACCATTGTTACGTGCTGGTGCGTTTGTCGCGGTTTAGAGATAGTGTTGAGCTGACGAAGACTCCTAGGGACCTCGGCCTCATTGAAGACGTGCAGCAGGAGATCGAGAACATTCGTTTCGGCGACGTGGCCAGTGTATTTACGTTTATCAAGAAGTACGGATCGCATTATATCCAGTCCTACATTACGGGGAATTCATTATATCAGGTAAAACGGGTATAGTCTGTAATACCAGGTTTACGATACAAAATAGAGGTGTAGTCTGTTTCAATCTTCATCGTCTTGGCTTTGGATGGACCCAACAAAACTTTAACGATGTTATTACCTATTGTTACCCATTAACGTGACATTTGTTGTTATTTGAGTGACGAGAAGGGAATGGGCCAGGTGTATTTTTTTCTTTCTGATATATTTCGCGAGTGTGTACCATTTGTGGCAGTGTTGAATAATAGTTTTTACCGTGTTATTCGAAAAAGCAATTTTACGATAATATGACGCATCGAAATCGTTTGTCGCTTGATGCAAAACAGGTTGTGAAAAATGTGTATGAAACTTTAATCAGTAGAGCAAGAAAGTTTAAACGAAACCTTTCTACTTAGAAACACGCCAATATCGATTTTTGAAGTGATTTTCAAACTCACCGTATAGATGATAGTGTTCCGGACCTAATAAGAAGGAAATTATATTGTCTTTATCAAAGCGAAATTGTTCCTACCTTGGAAAAACTGAAAAGAAGCTAGAGAAGATGAAACCAATATAAACATAACCCGTGCCACCCTCCGAGTTGTGTGTGAAATGGGATTTAAGTACCGTAAAACAAACAAAAGACAAGTAGTAATGGAATCCCACAGATTACGCACTTCAAGAAATTAAATGATATAGATAAGACAACAGATCCATAATTTACTTTGATGAAACAGGGTTCGATACAGACGACACTGTATCCAAAGGCTGGGTGGACTCCACTCAAAACTGTCAGACGAAAAAAACTTCAAATAAAAGGAAACGCTGGGTCAGAAGACGGATTTGTCTCAAACTACTTGCTGTTGTCTGCAAAAGATATTAAGGATTCCCATGAGGATACAAGTGCCGAAATTTGCTTTCAAAACAATCTTAAAAAGTATCCCCAATGATAGTGTTATTGTCATGAATATCGCAAGCTACCACAGTCGTCTGCTACGCAAAAAACCAGTCTCATCTAGTTGACAAACTGAAATCCAGGAATATTTGTTAGAAAATGATACATATTTTGAATTCAAAAAAGCGCAACTTTTGGAAGTCCTAAATGCATATGCAATTAAAAAACAGTAAGTATAATTTGGTTGAACAGGTTGAGTATTTTACGACTTCATCCATATCATTGCATGTTTAACCCCATAGCATTGAAGATGCCACGTGAGATTTTGGCGAAACGTCATCATCAATATATATATATATATATATATATATATATATATATATATATATATATATATATATATATATATATATATATATATATATAGCTATGAATTTATTGTTTATATTTAATGTCACGTAAATAAACTAAAAAAATTATATTATTACAAAAACCTTTGAGAGTCCGCCTCTAAAGTTCTGTCTTTTAATACCTGCCGGACCCAAGTTTTATTGCCGTTAACTTCCATAATTGCGGAAAAAAGCCAGCTCGATGAAGATCGAGACTATATAAGTTGTTATGAATGTGTCCAAAATACTTAAGAATTCGCCATGACCGCTCCAAGACAAATCAAACTTCCTTATTTGTAGCACTCGACCAACAACCCGTGCCCTAGTGAAGAAGGTCGTATCTTAAAAATAAAGAAGTTTCGAACCCTATGCGCCGTGTAAGTGCGCCACTGTTTTTTGTCGTTTTTTTTTTTAGTATTTCGCTTCGCAACTATTCCAGACTTTTTGTCGAAATTAAGGTCCAAATCCAACTGATGTGGTCTTACTAATAAACGGGGAAGGCGCGTGACAAAGTCTTTACCTGTCAATTAAGCGGCGAAAATATTTTTGAAGGTCACCAAAAGTCGACCTGAAAAGTAACAAAGCGTTTCCTATGAATCTGCGGCGTTTTTGTTCCAGGAAAGAATATACGTGTATCGTCACATTTTATGTGTATGTATATAATTGGACTTATCGTGGACCGGTTCCCGGAAATATTAACAAGTAAATACTAATTATTTGATAAACTACGAGTTCCTACTTATATTGTTACAAAAAAAAAAACATTAACTTGCCTCAGTTTGTTGTCGGAGAACGACGTAATATTTGAGAAGTCGTGACCTTATGGGTTACTAATCAACGATTGTTTATTATAAACGTTTCTTCGTCACGATTCGTCGCTGATTTCGAAACACGCGGTTCGTATTGAAGAATTGAGACCATCGCCAGAACATCTCCTGTTTTTGTAGTTATTGAGCTAAAAGCCCAGGATAGTTGATCCACCGTTCTTTCAAATCAAACAATCAGTTTAAAAAATATATTACTTGAAATGACCAGCTAAACTACCTAAAAAACCCGTATGCGATGGGTTTTTTCGCCCATTTTATTACGTAAATTGTTTTTTTTTAACTTCTTTATTTTTAACATACGGCCCTCTTCACTAGGGCACGGGTGGGTAATACAGGCCGAAGCAGGTGAAGAAAGATTGTTTCTGTGCCGATTATTGTAATCTTGATAACAATTTTCTTTCATCTGCTTCGCACTAACAAATCATCAACTGATAAGTTAGTTACCAATTTTTCTATTCCCCCACCCATGAAAATGAAGAAGGTTTATTTTTACACACTGATGTTCCTTAGACAGTTGGTCGAGTGCTACAAGTAAGGAAGTTGGATTTGTCTTGAAGCGGTCATAGCGAATTCTTAAGTATTTTGGACACATGTGTATGGAAAAGCTCTGCACATCACTCCATTCCATAGAACCTAATTCATAACAACTTATATAGTCTCAATCTTCATCATGGTAATAATATATATTTTTTGGTTTATTTACGTGACATTAAATATAAACAATAAATTCATAGCTAGGAATATATATATATATATATATATATATATATATATATATATATATATATATATATATATATATATATATATATATATATATATATATATATATATATATATATATATATATATATATATATATATATATATATATATATATATATATATATATATATATATATATATATGATGACACTATATTCCGGGATATCATCCGTTCGCTCGTTGAACTCCGACTGGAATCCTGCATCCGACTGGAATCCTGCAAATCTTGCATCCGACTGGAATCCTGCAGACGTTTCGCCAAAATCTCACTTGGCATCTTCAATGCTCGCGTTCCGAAAACACTTCGAACACTCACGCGAGCATTGAAGATGCCAAGTGAGATTTTGGCGAAACGTCTGCAGGATTCCAGTCGGATGCAAGATTTGCAGGATTCCAGTCGGATGCAGGATTCCAGTCGGAGTTCAACGAGCGAACGGATGATATCCCGGAATATAGTGTCATCACATTTTTCCATCCGTGAATCAATACGTGAGAATATATATATATATATATATATATATATATATATATATATATATATATATATATATATATATATATATATATATATATATATATATATATATATATATATATATATTCTAAATCTAATTCTCTTTCCCTATCAGAGTCGTCATTGAGATTAATTATAATAGCTTTTATGCTGTTTCGTATAGACATGTAAGAGTCTTCAATTTTCATAATGTGCCTGTACTGAATTTTTCCAGCTCCCAATTGGTATGTTATTAATTACATTTTTTAAATAAAATTTATAATACTTTGACAGAAAGAAAGAATGATATGGATGAAGACGTAAAAGAGTATACCCAGCCTGTTCAACCAAATTATACATACTGTATGTGTAACTAACCAAAAGAATCGATACTTTTGCAGTCCCTATGCACAATGAACATTGGAAGTTACATTGTGTTTTTCGCCACACGTCCTCTTTACTCGTCTGTCATCGTCATTTGAAATATTGTTGTGTTTTGATGATTCCTCGTTTTCATTTTTTTGATTGCGTTTAACCTCTTTTCTCTTCATCGTGTTCTTTTTTTTAATCTTTCTTTTATTTTGTCACTCAGAGTTGCATAAAAAAAAGGTTCCACTTCGGCTACTGGGCGATCTCTCCTGAAATTATCGTACATATACCTAGGTTACTGTTTTTCACAAAATTGTGCAAACGCCGTTCTAATATTTATTGTTTGGATTTTTCAATGAATAATTTGCATATGTTGTATTTGGGCTTGTAATAAAAAAAAAACACAATCGTGCCATTAACACCGTTTCAGACAATGGATCAAGCTCCTACGTGAAATGTGAGAATTTAGAATGTTGCACTAAATGCACTAAAACGTCATTTTTTCATTTAAAGCCCAGTAGTCACGATGTAATTTCTATATGTATTGCTGCATGTACGAGGGGGTACCCAAAAAAAACCGGAATCATTTCTTATAAACTATATATTGTTTTCAGAATCACAGAACGACCTTATCCCCTTCAAAATACTCTCCATTACAACTAATACACTGTTCGAAACATTTTTTATATTCATCTTTGGCTGTAGCCGACAGCTCATCCCTCGTTTTTTTTCTTGACCTCTTCAATGTTGTCAAATCGCTGTCCTTTCATGTCCCTTTTCATACGTGGAAATAAGAAGAAGTCACACGGAGCGAGATCAGGTGAGTAAGGTGCATGGGGCAGAGGAACCATGCCATTTTTAGCCAAAAACTGCTTAACAGAAATGACTGTGTGTGCATTTGCATTATCATCAGAACCAGTCCCCTGTCCGCCCCAAATCGGGTCTTTTTTGTCGAATACTGTTGCGCAATCTTCTTAAAACTTCCAGATAAAAACCTTGATTAACGGTATCACCTGGCGGAACGAACTCTGCATGAACTACGGTTTTGATGTCGAAAAAGCAAATCAGCATCGTTTTGATGTTTGATTTGACCTGACGACATTTTTTTGGACGGGGAGGCAGTGACGTCTTCCATTGGCTGAACTGTTGTTTCGTTTCTGGATCGTAACCGTAGCACCATGACTCGTCACCAGTAAAAGAAAATCTGGATCCGTTTCAAGCTGTTGATTCAAAGCGCGGCATGTTTCAACTCGATGTTCTTTTTGCATATCAGTCAGAACACGAGG